GATTTTTTGTATTGTCAAGTTCATTAAGATTAAAAAATAATGACCCAGTTAAGTTAGTTGTTCTCTGTTAGAAAAAAATATATATATTGTACCAATTTTTGAAAATTTTGGAAATAACTAATTATTTGCATATACAAGTTGCGACATGGCGTCTTTATCCAATCATTATCGAGACAAAGAAATGATCTTGGAGTTCAGTAATCTATTTGGAAAATCTTGATGACGATATTAAGATTGAGGAGATTACTGAAGTTCAGTGCATGGTTACTTTAAGAGGCAATGTCATTGTGTAATAGCAACATGATCTCACCTCCATAACTAATGGGGCTTTTCGATGGATGGAGGTATCATTGAAACACGATAATTGCCCACTTTAGGCTAAGCCGACAATCTATCTCTCCTCAATGTACTGTGTGCCGTGGGTCACCTCTTCCCACTTCGGAGCTACATTAATAACTCACTTGCTCTTATCTTTCTTGGTTTAATTTACTTACATTAATCTAATTGTTCTATACTATATATTCATTGTCTTAATTATTTGTATCAAATCTTGTCAAGTTTCTACGGCAATTAATTGATCTCAAAAGGTTTCTTTTCTTATTGTGAGGTATTTTAATAACATATATATTATTAAATAATTTTTGAATTAATGTAAAATTTTATAAACAGGAACTATATAATACAATAGTTATTCAATGATTTATAGAAGTTCGTATATCTTATATAGTATATTGGACCTTCTCCCTTCTCTTCTCCTTATGTAGTATATCTTTTTTCTCTCGAACTATTTATGCATCTGTTTTATATATATTGAGTGGTTAGATTAATATTTATAACTTTTGAGTCGAAGCAGGTAAATCCAGTTATGGGAACATATATGACACTTTTATAACAATTTTTCGTTTCTCGTTTACATGAGTTAAATCTTCTGTCTTACTTCAAAGAGAATTAAGTTCTGTTATCACTTGAGGAAAAAAAAATAGAGATAAGTGAAAGGGAGATGATCTTGATTTCTTTTAAAACGACAAAGAAAAAAAAAGTCTCACCTGTGTTATGTCCATGTAACAAATATTATTATTATAATAATTAAAATACGTCAAAATAATTACTTATGCAATAAAGTTATTGTTGCTGAATTAGAGATGGAGAAGAAACGAAAACCACACTTCACCTCGTATATGTATGGTTAAGTGGTCATGTGAAAATAAACTTACACATTGATATAATGAAATCGCAATTTAGTTGATATATACAAGCCCAATTCCACTTTGAGCTGTATGTGGCAGTGGACCACAGGTTCCGGAAAAATGAGTACAAGTCTTATTAGAGTGTTGAAATCGTTGAGAAATGTTAAGATCACCAATGATTATAGCTTTTATAGTGTATATAATAATTGTAACTCCCAGCCCGTGAAATCTAGCTAAAACCTGAAATTTACAAGTCCTATTAAGGCTATTAACTTTAAATGGTGTCAATCATGTCACTTATACACGTTTTTCCAACACCATTTATGAATTTATTATTCCTTCTTAATTAAATGAAGCGACAATCAAGTCAAAATAATTATAGTTCGGGCTTGCTTAAATCATAAAACAAAGAACTGATTTTTCAGTCTTTCTCACACTTCTTGTATGCAATATATTGCTTTTGAAGATTCTGCTGGAAGAAATAAAGATTTTAAATGTCAGTTTCTTTCCGAATATATGAAATTTACGCTATCCCCCAAGCCACTATCAGCAATATATTTATTAAATGCTATTAGATTAAATAATAATATTATTATTATTAAAAAGAAATAAAGAACATCCTGCCATATATTGTAAATAAGCCTTAAGAAAAAATCTGCATGGGGACTTCAAAGTATCATTTAATTTAGATATTGTGTGAATTATCCAATTACAAAGAAAGAGAGTGACGACGATTTTGAGCACACGACTATTCGAGTCTCACTTTTTTGAGGAGCACCATTTTTCTTTTTCTGTATATAAATATCAAAATAAAAATTACAAAATTAAATTATATAAAAAATAAATCAATAATCAATAATTAATCAATTGATTGGTGATGTTTTTATTTTTTAACAAAAATTTGACTACAATTTTGAAAAAAATCTATGTGTAATTTTAGGAAAATAAGTTGGTGATTTTAAATGTGAAGAGGAAAGCAAAATATATCATTAACTTATTTTCTAATGTTTTTCTTAACCTAAACATCCCTTCATGTTAATAAATAAGGGTGATTTTCTTTATCCTTTTATCTTAATCTCTTTGAACTACGATGACATCAATTTTTTAGTTTGCTTAAGATATTAGAGAATTTAGGATCGATGATCGATCCTTATAGAGAAAATATTATTTAATTAAGAAGCTTCATATTATATAAATATATATATATATATATAAAAGATAGTTTAATTTAGTGTATTTTTTTAGATAATTTTATTTCTTAATTTTTAAATAATAAAAAATAATATTAAAAGTTAACTACAATTACAAAAAAAAAAAATCTTGAGCTTTGAAAATCAAGCAAAATATTAGTTAATCTAATAAACAATGATAATTCTTAAATATATTTATTAAATGAAATATAGATGTACGAAATATCTAAACTCTACTAATTAAATATAATATTGCTGTCTAAAAATAAGGTTGATTTACCTTTTTATTTTACTTCTAAATTCTTCAGTAACCGCAACGAAAATGTAACTTATGGTTGTTGGGGGGAGGAGCTAAAAATATTTACAAGCACAAACATTTAAATGAAAATAATTCTAAATGTTCTAGACTAAGGTTGAGCTCCATGAATGTCCAGATTTAAGGATCAGAAAAGTTTATAAAAAAATCCCCTAAACTTGGTCGATCATCTTAAGATATGCATTCAGTCTATTTCTTGCATTTTTATTTTAATCCATGCATGCAAATCATCCTTAGAATCTTTACAAATGACATCTCTACCAAATTACAAAGCTTAATTAGAAGGAGGCCATCACTCAAGCTTGCCCCCTTAATTAAGACCGAGAGATACATGATTACTTTCTCTGTGACTTGTTTATAACACTAAATCGCTAACAAATTAATGGCTGAGTGTCCAAGATGTTAAAATCTGATCTTTATATGGATGTACATGAGAATATCTCACGAAAATGGTTCAAAACAAATTGAATAATGCGTGCTAACGACTGTAACTAAACATTTCTTAAGAACTAAAACAAGTTTGTTCAAATTGTAATATAGTTAATTAAATATATGTTTTTTCAAATTATGGCCTATGAAAAGGATATCATTTCATTAATATTTTTTAATTTATAAAATTCAAACTCAATATTAAAAATTTAATCAACTCCTATATATTAAACATGAACATTTATCTTGCACAAAAATATTTTCAAGAGATTTTCATCAATGAGAGGATTTTTAGGAATTTCTTTAACTTCTTATCTAATTTATTTTTATTTATCATAATTATTTATGAATTAAATTTTTATATTTTTAAAATAAATTATCAATAAATAAAAATAATATTGTGCTGCAATATAAATTATTTATAAAAAAATTTAAAATATAATTTATACATTTAAAAATATTTATTTATATAAACTTTAAATATAATTTATGTATTAATATAATATATATATATATATATATATATATATATATATTATAAATTTTAGTTACATATAATAAATATTTAATCTATGACACTGACTAAAATACTAATTAAAAAACAAATCATACACGCTACTGAGCCAATAGAAACAATTACTTATGTTGAATAAACACAATCTATATAATAAAGATTAACCATTATTGTTCTTTTAATATTTTAGATAAATAATCTTTTCGGTTTTACTCTTTTTAATATTGTGAAAAATAATCTATTATTTCCTATAATATAGAAGAAGACTATTATTAGAACTAACTGTATGGCTATGCAGAATGCAGTTCCCCCCCTCCCCCCTCAAAATTGCATGTTTTTGTATTCATTTCATTTATATACATAATTTCCACATATGTGTCCTTTAAGAGTCTTTTATCAGAAAAAATCATTTAGCAACATATATAATCCTAGTCAGTTATTATATGACATGAGATGTATGTAAGTTTTTTCAATTTTTTTAAAGTAATAATACTTATTAATTACATGTTATAGATTAATTAAAGATGATGTGGTTAAAAATCATCTTGATATAATCCTCATTTTATGGGGTGTAAACAATTAATATGCATAAATAGGAGGGCCAATAAAGTAAAACTCTTATCGGAAAAAGAAGAGAACATTAATTAAAGATGATATGGTTAAAAATCATCTTGATAATCCTCATTTTATGGGGTGTAAACAATTAATATGCATAAATAGGAGGGCCAATAAAGTAAAACTCTTATCGGAAAAAGAAGAGAAGAAAAGAAAAGTGCGTTATAATTAAGGAACTAAGCGTAAACCATTTGGACTCATCGAAGTTTATTGAAGTTGTTTTTGTTAGATGTATCCATCTATTTTTCTGATCCATTACAAAATTACATGAATAGAACCGTTGATATTTACTACTAGTTCACATGGCAATAATTTTCTGAATTAATCTTACATCGATCACTCTCACGTACGTAGTAAATGCACTTGCTATTGATGTAATGACGTTGCTGAATAGTTTGAGACAGGGAAGCGCATGAAACAACCGGCAATATTCACTCGTTTTCATTTTGCTTGTGTTATTTATTTTGGGAGTTTTGTGGAAGTGTGAAGGAGTGTGTGAAGAAAGTTTGGTTACGTAATACTACTACACATGTACGTAGAAATGGTAACACTAAAGGTTGATGGAACGTCATTTTAGGGTTAGATGGAGATATGGGTCCCTTGCATGGACCCCATCAGGTTGTAAATGTCGGCTCTGGCCTTTGTAGTTTTAAAGGAGGAAGAGAGAGAGAGACCTAACTATTGCATACAAATCCCCGCATTTGATCCAGGTAATAAAAGGCCACTGAGGGAACAATAATACTAAAAGACAGGAATAGAAGAAGATGGGTCACCATTCTTGCTGCAACCAACAGAAGGTTAAGAGAGGGCTTTGGAGCCCTGAGGAAGATGAGAAACTCATCAGATACATTACCACTCATGGCTATGGTTGCTGGAGTGAAGTTCCAGAGAAAGCTGGTCTCTCTCTATCTATCTATCTATCTATCTATCTATCTATCTATCTATCTATCTATCTATCTATCTATCTATCTATCTTATAAATAGTAATTCTTGATCATCCTTTTTTTCATTTTCTTCATTGTTTGATGATATATGGAATTGCTCTCAACTTATTTCTATGATGAATATATCAACCTCTTGTTTTTTATTTATGCTGTTTAATTAAATCTTTGGCGTGGCTTTCAGGGCTTCAAAGGTGTGGTAAGAGTTGTCGCCTGAGATGGATTAATTATTTGAGGCCGGATATTAGAAGAGGAAGGTTTACACCTGAAGAGGAGAAGCTAATTATAAGTCTTCATGGGGTCGTTGGCAACAGGTTTGAATCACACACCGCAGACACTATAACTAGTTCTACCAAGCTTTGTATATATGTCTTTCTTCTTTTAATTGAACAGCCAAAATATGGTCGAGTCGACTTCTCTAGCTATCAACCCCATAAATTTTCGGAATTGATCGGTATGCTTGAAAGTATAATAGTTTTGGAAATTCGGAATATCTAATTAAAAACACTTAATCATACATATATAATATTTGATTAATTTTCTTTATAAAGAATGGAAAGCAAGCAGGAAAAAATGGAATTGAGAGTTATAATTAACACTAATTATTCAATTCAACATTCGATATTGTAAAAACAAAGCATAGGAACATGGAAACAATATGAAGGAGCAATCAGCCTCGGAGCTACAGTTTTGGAGAAGTTAAGCAGGCAATTCTGTCAGTTGAAATTTACTTGTCCGTTTTCAGTGCGTGTGCACTCCCAGCCTCTCATGTCCACATTCTTCATAATATTTTATTCATCCAAATCCTTTACAAAAGCAACTAAATTGTTATTCTATATATTCATTTCTTGCCACGTTTTTCTCGACATATATGCTTCCAATTCACGATTTTATGCAAGGCATCTTAATTAACAAGATACAGATTGTCATAATAATTTAAACAGTGGAGTTTAATTATATACACTCAATTAATTAACCAATTATATTCTTGTGCTTGGGAAATGCAGATGGGCTCACATTGCAAGCCACTTACCAGGTAGAACTGACAACGAAATAAAGAACTATTGGAATTCTTGGATCAAAAAGAAAATCCGAAAGCCTTCGGTGACTTCATCAATGACCACTACACAAAGCGTTGATCACTCCCAATTCAACTACAATTCCAATCAACTAGATCACTTTGGCAACCAAGAAAACGTAACAGCAAAACCACCAATACAAGAAACCTTATTTTCCTCGACCTGCCCCTTATTTATGTTTGACACTAGTTCATTAGATCAAGGGATAACAACTACAGTAGACACTAATGTACGAGCCGAAATGTTCCATGAATCGGTGGGTTTGAGCACTGAAACGTGGAACATGAGCCACCACCAAGTGCATGCCCTTCCTCCTCAACCAGTAACAACCTTTAGTGCAGTTATGGATACAATGAATTATCTGCCACCATTGATAGAGAACGTGGAAAGCATGGTGCCAAATATGGAAGTACAGTCTTGTAGCATTGACGAAGAAGGAGAAATGGCACTGGAGTGTTTGCGGAGGCAAGAGTTGAATATGGAGTGGGTGGAGAATCAACAACAATGTCCCAACTTTCTTTTCTGGGACAACGTTGAAGGACAACTTGGAGGGGAAGAACTAGCACCAAACACGTCAAATATTGGAACCAATACACTTTCACCTTTTCCTTCTTCTTTGTGACTGTCCCCACTCCTTTTTCTCATGCACCCTCTAACTAGCCTCAAACTTATCGCAGAGATTGCTTTTCATTTTTTTTCCCACCTCTTTTGATTGCTGATTGGAAAGATTGCGAAAAATGAGTGAAGATAATATTATATGTTATGTTATATATATAACCGAGCGTGAAGTGTTTATTACGGAGTGTTTTGACATGGAAGAGGAAAAAAAAGAAGAAAGAATAATAATAAAGGCGATTGCAAAGCAGCAAGAAAGTTTGAATTTGAAGATTTGCGAATTTAAACATGTTCTTCAATTTGCTATTTGACTGTACATGTGGTGGTTTTGAATGACAATAATAATGGATTTGCCTTTTATATTATGGCGTCTTTTGTTTTTATATAACAACCCCTCTGTCTTATAGCAAAAGGTTTGGGTTACCACACATGCACGTCCCAAATTAAAGAGAAAGGGACGTGGTCATCTGTGTTTTGCAGGTGTGTTCCTTTTGGAAATCTATTGCCAATTTGGCCAGGCATCTCTTTAGTCGGTTTCATGTATACCTTGTACTGAAAGAGTAAAGATTCTTCGACTAATATTTTCGTCATGCCTACTCTAAATATGCTCGACTCACTAATGCTAAATAATTTTATAGATTTATATTTTCCAAAATTCAACACCATTATTTATTTCATTACATGTGAGACATTTGTAATGCGAGCTTTTACGTACGTCTTAATAGAAGAAACTATTTTATACTTTTATGTAATTTAGCCATCGAAATTTTTTAACTACAACTTTTTTAGAGGAACTTATTATATAGTTTGGACGCTATGTTCCAATTAATAGTTATGTAGCATATAGTTGAGTATAGAGTTGCTATTTATTTATGAACTAAATATTTTAATTATGTATCACATAAAGATTGATGAGGACTATATATAACTATATGGTAGTGTCCAATATTTTTTCATTTTAGGATGTATAAGTGAAAAAAAGAGAGGGTAAAGATAGAGAAAAAAAGAATAAAGAAAAATCAAGACAAAAAAAAACTGATAAATATGACAAGTAATCTAGTTAGAAATATATTAAAAAAAATTGTATTATAATAAGTCAAATTTATAATATAACAACTTTTTTAACCATTTGTTCTAAAATGTATATCAAATAAGGATAATAATAAGGAAATTTATATCTGTAGATAATGTTCGAATCCATTCCAACTTTAATAAAGAATACTCGATTTGATCATATACAATAATATAGATATGAGTACGGATACGCATGAAGAAAGCATGAGTATATACATACTCGTCATATATCTATACTCGCTTAAAATTTATAAATATTTAATTTATTTTTTTAGAATTTACCTAAATTTTATATAATTTTTTACTCTATTATTAATTTATGTCAAATAAAATTTAATTAATATAATTTTGTAATTATTATTTCATGTTAAAATTTTTATTTTTATATATTTTTCACAAAAAAATAATATTTAATTAATTTTTAGATGGATATATGACAGATACGAATATACTCGATATTCGATGAATACAAGAATAAATACACAAATTTTATACCTATATTTCTTTCAAATATAAATATAAGATATAGAAAAAAAACAAAGATAAATATAAAGAATCTTATTGAGAATAATAAAAATTCATTGTATAAATTACTCGTTAGATTTTTGGTTTTTCAAAACAGTCGCTACATTAAACATTTGACAGATAATTGATTTTTTAATCATTGACAAATAATTTATTAATAATTAATAACAGTATCAAATCACTCATGTAGAAATTTTGACAAGATTTGTGCAATTATTATTATTATTTTTATTTTTTTTGCATTCCATGACAATTATACCCTGCAATCAATATATATGTAGCTTGAACATCAATATTTAGTTTAGCAAATTGTGTGACAATCTATCACTATACTCCTTTAGCTGCTAAATCACTTCAACTGATCAGTGAAAGAAACCATACACAAAAGGATATTTGTATGAGCCAACACACACACATATATATATATATATATATATATATATATATATTCAACAATTGTATCATATACTCAATTCTCAACACTACACTTAGGCACAAGCTAAGCTTATCTCGCCCAAACTTTTACATCGCTAAATTAGGCACAAGTATATATATTTATTTATTTATTGCTTAGGATAGTTTAAAATTTGTATAAGTTATCAATTTGAGGTCAATTTAATTGTAGATTTCAGTAGTTTTTTTTAGTCTAGATCATTATGGCTTGGCCCATGAGCTTCTGCATTTTTTTGATATGCTTCTTTCCTTAATCACATAAATCATATAATAATTTTAATTGTGTGTATTATTAATATAAAATTACCATTTTCCTAATATTATATTACCAATGACAGCATTATCATACTTTTAATTAATATATTAAATATAACTAGTTATGTTTAATATATTAATTAAAAGTATGATAAATTACAAAATCTATTATTTATCAATATTTATTACTAATATATAATTAATTTATATTTTTATTAAAACAATAAATATATTGAAGTATAAATTGAATATAATATGAATAATAGGTAGTTTGAATAATAATAAAATATATTTTATAATATTCAGGTTGATAATTGTTTGTGTTTGGAAAGTTTTTACGGGTACAAATAGAGAAAATCACAAAAACTTTAAATAGATTTACTTATTTAAAAAAATCAAATAATAATAATAATAACAATATATCTTAAAGTAACAAAAAACTATTATTTCATATAATAATAATAATAATAATAATATAATAATAATAATAATAATAAATGAAATTAAAACCTGGCTGAGGAGTTGTCCAAGGATGGATTTAATTAATTTCAGGTCTAATTTTTTTTTAGGCTATCTCATGTTCGGATTTTTTTTACATCAAGCGAGTATATTTTTCCAAAATTTTTTGAAATGGATAATTTAAAAAAAAAATATATATGTATACTTATCTATTTTTTAACGATATATTAATATATATTATATTTATAATATAGATAAAAATAATTTTTAATAATAAATATTATGTTACTATAAGATATATAAATATATATTATATTTCTAATATAGATAAAAATAATTTTTAATAATAAATATTATATTATTATAAGATATACAACTGTGTAAATTTTTTTTAAAGGAAAAATTATGTGCATTGTTTTAATTTTTTTTTATTAAAATAAGTTTTTAAGTAAAATTAAAATAAAAAGCAAATATGGTGTTTGTTGGCTTCCATTTTAAAAGTAGTTTTTTATACATGACTTATCCTATATCTATTTTTTTTTTTAAAAGCTTGCCTATTTAAAAAATAAAAAAAAATACCTCCGAATGGTAAAAAAGCTCTCATGTTATGTTAGATTAATTGGCTTAGTTACTCCATTAAACTTGACCCATGAAATTTTATATAAATTTAAATATATTTTTAATTTATGTGATATAAGAGAATTTTGATTTTAGTTTTTGTAATTATTTTATTTTTTATCTTTAAAATTTTATAAACATTATTTTTGACTTTATAAAATATTTTTTATCTTTAAAAAATAAGTAAATTTTGATTTTGATATTTATAAATTATTTTTATTTTCATCCTTCTCAAATGTAAAATAATAATTTTTAATCTTTAACGACAATTTTAAAATAGATAAATAATATTTATTTCAAAGATCTATAAATTTTTTTTTAGAAGTATTACTCATTTATATAGAATCATTAATATTTTTAGGTAATATTTGATACGATAATTTAACCTTTTAATAAGCAAATGAGTAGTTAGAAAATAATTATATATTAAAAATAAAATTTATAGATTTAAGAGAATGAAATTTTTTTTTTATATAAAAATTAAAATAAAAAATTTGTGGAGACTAAAATTATATTTAAGTCTTTTATATATCATTGTTATTTTAAAATGTTTACTTTTTTATTTTGGAATGAAAAAAAAGCTAAAAAAGTTAAATGAATAGCATCTTTTTGTTAGTCAACAATTAAATCGGATGGGCCAACGGAGGTTAGAATATCAGATGGGTCAATTTAAAAAAGGCCCCTCAAATGAGGCCTAGGGAAGGTAGAAACTCAGGCCATAAAAGGCCCAAAAGCGAAGCAAGGCCTTAAAGGTTGAGAGTCCATTATAAAATGAGAAGAAAGCGATATTAGGGTTTATATCAGAAGCGGCAAAGTGAGTGTTGTACCACAGCTTCTTTCCGTCGCGGCTGCACCCTAGCAAACATGGTATTCCAACACCGTCTTTTCTCGTCTTCTACCGAAAATAATCGAAAATTGTTTGCATTGGTGGAACCGGTTTATGCAAATCGTTACATAATTCATTTTTGTTTAAATTGTGCAGATCATTCCAGAGAAGAACCGTAGAGAGATCTGCAAATACCTCTTCCAAGGTTCGTTAATACTCTTTCCTCCAGTACCTTATGTTTGTGTTGTGTTCAAACCGTAACGTGGTTGGTCTTGATTCAGAGGGAGTTTGCTATGCGAAGAAGGACTTCAATCTGGCGAAGCACCCAGACATTGATGTGCCGAATCTGCAGGTGATTAAGCTGATGCAGAGCTTCAAATCGAGGGAGTACGTGCGCGAAACATTTGCGTGGATGCACTATTACTGGTTTCTCACCAACGATGGAATTGAGTTCCTCAGGACTTACCTCAACCTTCCCTCAGAAATCGTCCCAGCCACTCTCAAGAAGCAGGCCAAGCCCGCTGGAAGACCATTTGGTGGCCCACCCGGTGATCGCCCAAGGTAATTTAACGTTATTGTTAGTGCTTGCCATTTTGATGTTGCTTTGTTTGATTGAATTGTGTTTGTGTGTGTGATTGTTTTGAACAGAGGCCCACCTCGCTTTGATGGAGAGAGGAGATTCGGTGGCGATCGTGATGGATACCGTGGAGGTCCCCGTGGGCCTGGTGGAGACTTTGGAGGAGACAAGGGTGGAGCTCCAGCAGATTACCGGCCTTCTTTTGGGGTAATCATATTGTACCATATTATTCATGTTTCTTGTGTTTCTCGTTGCTTATTTTTATTCGCGTGAGTATATATTCGTTTTCTTAGCTTGGATAATTATTGTTGGTCATTACTTTGTGGCCTTGTTTTGATTTTAAAGCTTACTTTTTGCTGTGTTTCTAGTCTTTCTAATTGCGTTGGCATCTCTCTCTCATGATGTGAATTTGATTGTGTATATGAAACATCCTGTTGAGGCTCATATATGCATGTTCTACCATTCAAATGATGGGGTGTGCAATTTTATTTGGTAAAGAAAACAATTTATCGGTTCACCTTTTGTTTTAATTTGCCAAATGTAGTTTTCCTGATGTATTCGATTATGGTTCATTGCTGGTTAAATTTTTTTAATTTTGTTAGGAAGCTGGTGTTTTGCCAGTTGTCACTGGCTTCTTTGTATAAATCATGGTGCTTGGAGTTTGGTACTTTGTTTATGAATTTGGGGGTCTATTTGGTTGAAATGAGTGAAGGGAAAAGGCTAAAATAATTTGTTTGGTTGAGAAAATGGGAAGGGTTGGATTTTAATGGAGGGGAGAGTTGATGCTTTTTTTTCCTTTTTCGAGGAAAGATTTTAAAAATCAATTTATCATTTTATCCTTATAGTTTTAAGTTAAAAAACATAAGGATATTTTAAACATTATATTGAAAATATTTTAAAATCCCTCCCCTCTCCAAATTCCTCTAATATTGGAGGGAGTTAAGAAAATTTTATATAAATATCCCTTCCATTTCTCCTAAAACAAAATCTCTGTTAGGCTTTGTTTGAATTCTTGTTTTACGTCAACTCTCTTTTCCCTCTAAACAAATTCCCTTGTTATGCTTCGATTTAATTCTTGTTCTTTGTCAACTTTCATTTTCCTTTGCAGTTGCAAATTTAATTGGATGATTTGTGACGTGTTCTCCTCATTTACATAATATTGTTGTGCTTATTTCTGTGAAGCAGCATTCTACTGATTTTGCTACTTATGTACAATTGATGCCTTTGATATGGATGTCTATTTATAGTTTTCCTGAATTCTACGTTTTGTCTTCTATTTGTAGGGTCCTGGCGGAAGGCCTGGCTTCGGTCGTGGTGCTGGTGGTTATGGAGGAGGAGCACCAACTAGTTCAAACATTCCTTAAATATAATGATTTGTGCTCTAGTTTTTGCAGTTTTGGCTGTCATTGGAGTTAATAGTAGTTCTCCTCTCCCAAAAGTTGTTTGATCTTCCTGACGTTTTACTTATTCAGTTATTTATGCAATGAAGATTTTGAATTGAGTGTTTTTGCTAAGTAGAATGATAATATTATTCGTGTGGATGATTGGTGGTATAGAAAGTGAGAATTTATAGCTGAAAATGATTATTTAAATGATTTCCTAAGTGGGCTTTTATCGAAAAGTAACTTTATCTTAGATTGTGTTATAATGTGCGCCAATAAACGTCTATTGTCTAGCCACTACATCGTGTCATGTAATTTTCCGAAATATATGATATGTTCTAATGTCTTGAAATGCTCCTTGAGATAATATTTTAATTATGCATTAGTTTAGTGCAGTTTTTTTAATTAGATGGCCAAAAAGGCCATAACACAGGCAAAAATTATGTGTCGGAGGAAGGTAGTGGCCACTGATTCTGCAGAGAAAAATACAAAAATTCAGGGTAAATAAATTTTCTATCCCCCGTACTTAAACTTTCACCAAATCTTTGTTAAACATGCTTTCAAATTTGGATCTCGAATGGCATCAACTTGGGGGTTTGGATTTATATTAGGTTTTATTAATGTGGTTGGAATACAATGCGAGTCTTTTTTAACTGTTGATATTGCTGACCAAGGCCTTCGTCATGTTTTTCCTTGCTCGTGCCCTATGTAGGATATGCTTCGGAGTTAAGGATTTCAAGTGTGTAGCTGGAATAATACATTTTTATTTTTAATTTGAGATATTAATAAATAAAAGTTTAATATTAATGTTAATTATATTTTTTTGTTATTTTAACAAACAATAATGTCCCTAATTAATTTATGGAAGCATGAATTATGGTGTTAATCTGTGTGTGAGAGAGAATAGTAACAAAAGAAAAAATAATAGTAAATTAGCAATTAGTAATTGATTGGGTGGGTATATGGGCAACTGCGAAGCTCAAACGGTTATCAGGAAATTGGGCCCTGTCCGTCTTTAAACGTTAACCCTGCGTCCCGAATTCCAAACGTTGCGTTTTGGTCATTTGGAGGGTAAGGGGAGCATGCCAGCCATCGGTGTAAGTGTAAATGTGCGGTTGGTTTCCTAAAATATTTTTTATTTTTATTTTTTATTTTTTGTTTTATTTTCTGAAAATAGTTTTCATTTTTAAATTTAGGAATTATGTTTAGTTTCACTTTTAAATTTCTATTTCTGCCGAATGAAAACATTGAAAATATGTTTAATATAACTATTTCCCAAAAAATGGTATAAATACTCTTCATATAAAGGTTTAAATAATTTTTAAACTATAAAAATATACCTATATATATTAATTAATATTTTATAAAATAAGTTTATAATATATATGGCCTTAATCATGGTAATATAAGATGAATATTGTAATTTATCATAAAAAATTATTCACGTGTAATCACTGTTTATAAACTATTTTACTAAAATTGTTCACAACAAATAATTATTATCGGCTTTATCTTACTGTATTAGCATAGTTTTAAAAATATCATTACCTTAAATGTATAATAAAATAAGAAAACCACATTTTTTTTTCTGTATAAATCAGGATCATTTTGAGTAACGTTGCAAAACTATCATCCATTCACTGTTTCTGTGTGCGCGTTATGTGATTTATATTAGAGCAGTTATAAAAGTTGATATTAAAAAATGCCATCGTGTTTTCAATATTCTGTTTTTATTTTTACCGAAAACACAGACAATGAGTTTTTTATTTTTTATTTTCAATTTTGAGCTTATTTTAGAAAATATTTTCTAACAAACATATTTTCATCCAACAAACAATTGAAGTAAGCAACTGAGCTAAACCTATTAAATTTGTTGACGAGTAGGATCTTTTTTAACAGACACCAGGTTGCAACTTTCCTTTTGGGGGTAACACGAAATTTGTGTAGCACTTTAGAAGACACCACCGAGCTGCAACTTCCCCTTATCTGGAAATAAAAGGGATCATATTTATTTCAATAATGCATTGACCACCTTTAATTATCTACTTGTAATATTTTTTAATTGGCTACCGTGTACGTAGAGGAAACAAATTGATTTAAATTGAATTAGATTAGAAGTGAGAATTAGTAAAATAAAATATTAGGTGTTTTCAATCGAGAAGCAAGACGAGAATGTTTGTGCAATGATAGAAAGTTAGAAACATATATATTTTAGTGTTAGTTGCATCTTGTTAACGGATCAAATTATATAAGTATGAAAGTAGTTGTAATACGTAGAAAATGTCAGCTCCTGTTTGTTTTAATATATCATGGTGATGCAATTGGTGATGAGGTGAAGATCGATTTAAAAAATAAAAGTCTGGCCGGGTTCAATTGAGGCAGACGTGTAAGAAATGAGGAAATTCTGGTGATAAGTCCCAAGCCATCCAAATCGCCATTGCCAACTTGTTATTATTATAAATTTGAACGAGTTGGACTTATTCTAGGACTTTTGGGGGGTCAAAATTAAACCCATTCAATTGCTTGTGTTTCTGAAAATTCACTTGATATTTAATGATTAGGTGAGTTCCTAAAATTTAATCAGATTAAAGATTTGAGATATAGTCCTTAAGAAATAAGAAGGATAAGGAAGCGTTGCAGTTGCAGTTGCAATGGGTAGCAAAGAGCAAGAGAGTATTAAGAGGGTTATGACTCACGGTGGTCGATACATTGAATACAATGTGTACGGAAACTTGTTCCAGGTCTCGACCAAGTATGTCCCTCCCATTCGCCCTATCGGTAGAGGCGCATACGGCATCGTTTGGTAATGCTTAAGCCTTATGCTCTTATCCCTTTTCTTCTTTCTCACTCTATACTTCAATGCTCAATAGTCAATACCCTCGCTTTGTTTTCAGCGCTGCCGTTAACTCCGATACGCACGAGGAAGTTGCCATAAAAAAGATCGGTAACGCCTTCGACAACATCATTGACGCTAAACGGACTTTGAGGGAAATCAAGCTCCTTCGCCACATGGACCATGAAAATGTAACTTACCTTCTTCTTCTCTTTCTCAGATTTCAATCTCTTCTTCCTAGTACTTTATCATTCTTCTTTTCCAGATTATTGCTATTAAGGATATCATTCGGCCTCCCAGCCAGGACGCCTTCAATGATGTTTACATTGTTTATGAATTGATGGACACTGATCTTCATCAGGTTATTCGTTCTGATCAGCCTCTTAACCATGACCATTGTCAGGTTTAGCTCTATTCATATCTTGTTGCCTTTTCCGTTCTATAGAAGAAAAAAATAAATTAATCACCATTCCTTCATGCTATTGCTGAGTAGGTTAAATAAGACTTATGTTTTGTTAACATAATTAATACACCGCCATATGTTAGATAAGATATTAATTTTAACAAATAAATACCCTGAATAAAAGACGTGCTTGAGACAAAATTCCACCAAGATGATAAAATTACTGGATACTTCATATAAAAAATCATTCATATTATTCTTATTTTATAAGAGGAGTTATTTTGGGTAATTTTAACCTGCGCTTTTCTTTTGAAATTAAGCGTGGTGTTGATATTTTATGGAACTTGTGCAGTACTTTTTATATCAGCTGCTACGGGGCCTGAAATATGTGCATTCTGCTAATGTCTTGCACCGGGATCTTAAGCCAAGTAATTTGCTTCTGAATGCCAACTGTGACCTTAAAATTGGGGACTTTGGTTTGGCTAGGACAACATCTGAAACGGATTTTATGACGGAGTATGTTGTCACTCGATGGTACCGAGCCCCAGAATTGCTCCTTAATTGTTCAGAGTACACCTCTGCGATTGATGTTTGGTCTGTTGGTTGCATATTTTGTGAAATTATGACTAGAGAACCCTTGTTTCCTGGGAAAGATTACGTTCATCAACTAAGGCTTATAACAGAGGTATGGGTTTGGTGCTTCCATTTGAAATTACGGGCTGCTGAAGCATTCTTAATAATGTATTGCATTATCTATCTCTTGCATTAGTTTATTGGTTGTTGTTATGCAAATTTCTTATCCTTTTGTAAATCTTGCATTACCCTGTTCTCGTTGACCTTCCCAACATGCTTAATACCTCCAGCTGAATCTACTGGAAACAAAAAGCCATTGGTTTCCATTTTATTACTCTTCTTGATGTCTATTCGTTTACCCTTGTCACCACTTATTATTACCTTAGATCAATTAACTTCGGGAGTTGGATTCTGTGAGGTTTTCAGGCTCTGATTGACAAGAAATAAGTGGTATTTTTGATAATGAAGTGCAAAACCAGGCTGTTCAAACTTTCTTTTCTTCTAGTTTCATTGTTTACTTTTCATTTCTAGCTATTGCTAATCGAATAATGGTATTGCAACATTTTCTTACTACACACGCATCTTATTCCACCCCTCTCTTTTCTTCTTCTTCTTCTTCTTTCTCTCCTTGTGGAAATTAGAGTGAAAAAAACATTTTTGCTAATTTACTATTGTTGATAACTGGAAGGTAATCATTGTCATGGTTTGATTTATAAACCAACATATTATGTGGCATGACAACAGTTCCTGTAATCTCTATCCAGCCCTTCTTCCCTTTCTACACTAGGGAATAACGAAAGGCATACTATACTCCATTTTATTATACATCCATCTAGAATGCTGGTATTGTTAAATTGCATAAGCTGATTTTTTAGTTACCTATAAATTGATTACTACAAGTTGTAACTCAACACATGCGTTCTGTTTTCCTTTTGTTTAAAAGTTAATAGGTTCACCTGATGATGCCAGCCTTGGATTTCTCCGAAGTGAAAATGCCAAAAGGTATGTTCGACAGCTTCCATCATATAGGAAGCAAAATTTCTCGGCTAGATTCCCAAATATGTCTCCTGAGGCATTGGATTTACTAGAAAAGATGCTTATCTTTGATCCCAGCAAACGCATTACAGGTATGCTAGAAGAACTAAGTTTTAAGGGCGGATTTTTAACTTGTTTATTGAATGTAATTCTCATTTTTTAAATATTTATGTAATATTTTTATTTATTTGCACCAGTTGATGAAGCACTATGTCATCCATATCTTTCATCACTTCATGACATCAATGATGAACCAGTTGGCCCTGGGCAATTCAATTTTGATTTTGAGCAGCCAACATGCACTGAAGAGCACATCAAGGAGCTCATCTGGAGGGAATCGGTGAAGTACAATCCAGATCCACCCTCTCAGTAATTCTTTCTTGAATAATGATTCCCTCATCACTCTTGGTCTTGGGTGTAGACACCTAGAGAGAAATAGGAAGAAAAGAGAGATAAGTGATTAATAATCGACGGGACTACTATTTGAGTAGTGAGGGAATCATTATTCTTCTTTCTTATTAGTATAAATGTATCAAGATAAACTTCTTTTACCTTGAATACAGTGCCTGTCCATTATTCAGATAAATTGCTAGGTACAGCCGACAGAAAGTCAGAAAGTTCCGTTCTTGACTTCTTGTAATCTAGTCCTAAAGCATTTAGGGTACAAAGGAAAATGAGTAATCATTAGGAAATAGGAATCCAATTGAATATTACTGGCATTCGCACGAGTTATAGAACCCGTTGTATATGTTGAACTGTCGAAGTTTGGTTAATGAGTATAGAGAATCAGGGTTTTGGGAATCAATTATGATAGCAAAATCACGAGCCTGTCATGGAGCCTTTGTTTATCATGTAACAATAATCTGTCATTTTTTTTTTTATTCTGCTTGAAATGTTTAGATCTAGCACAATTTGTTCCACACTTATGATGTCTGGTTTTCACATATGATGTGGATTCTGGTTTCATGGCTAAACTAGTTGACTATACCAAAGTTGTATATTTGAGTTACTCTTATAAGTAGAACTAACCATGTTAAATCTTACAATGAGATTGTTTTCAAACTCCACATTGAAAATATTGAATGTAAGCATTCATTATGAAAAGATTTTCTGCTCTTTACTTTTGCCTTCTTGTTTATTCTGTATGCTTCACTCATGAAATCAGTGAATTTCAGAGGCAGCTGGCAAAAATCTGGGTCTATCATTAACTTGGCCTTGGTCCGTGTTTTTTGCTAGTTTCAAATTATTTGAATACCAACCATACTTTGAAGTACACTATTTAGGTTTGTCTCTTGAACTGAGCCATTCCATTTAAACTGTTATGAACACTACCTGAACTTGCACTTTTGAGCCCGGAGTCTGGAATATTATCAATGGGCAAGCCATCTTTTGGGAAAGAAAATGCGTCATCTTCTCTAGTCCTTGGAATGGAAACATATTGCAATATCAGTACAAATCCATGAAACTTCTTTGGTTACATTGGATATGCGATTCATGGTACTAGATAATAGATATGCCCTCTAATCTCAAAATCAGAATGTCTCTATAGGGAGCTATGGGGTGAGAGCGACTAATCTTGACTTTGCTACACAATAGTCCAAGCGCCAATCTTATTATAACAGTCTCCATTTTGTGTGTTTGGGCATTAGTTTGCGTCAAAAGCGTAATCGCATGTCTGTTGGGACTTGAGGGAGTCTAACAGAGAAACTAGTTTCTTGTTAAAGATAATATAAATGAAATTAATAATTTCATTTGTGGGCTAACCTTAGTCCCATTCTTGGATCCGCACAGAATCCTTAAAATTTGGTGTGAATTATGATAACTACAGTCAGGACCCGTGCAACTGCACAGGCGTGTCCATAAAAAAGGCCCATTGATCATCTGAAGATTTTTTTAACATGGTGACACTTGTAAGTTTGGAGACTTTTATTATACTCAGACAAAAATGACCTTATCAAATAAATTCAAAATTGTGAATTAGGTTATGAAAAAATAACAAAAGAAGCCCAATGGTTAATTAGTAAATATGGCGAAAATTTTGAATAAACAATTAAAACCAAATGGAGGGGCTGGACCAGGTTTAGAAATACAAATGCTCATCCCGAACTCAAGCCAAACGTTGACCAAATTATATGATTTTTTCCTTTTGTTTCTTTTTCTTTAAAGGTTTTTAGTGTTTATTTATATGCAGCGATTTAGAATGTATAGCTTCAAATTAGAGCAATTCTTATTTTGATAAATAAGAACTACAAATATATATACATCACAAGTCATTTAAATAGTCAATTTTATAATAAAAGTGCATATAATTTTTTTAAGGGTCATGCTGTTGCTGACTAACTTCTATTCTTATGTATTGTATGATTGTATAACTGGATTTATAGTTGACATTTCTCGCTATGAGAAAAATTCTCACTTAATACATCCCTTATTTACACGTTTCTTATCGTGAGAAATAAAAACTATAAATATAAATTATTAGATGATACTTCAATGGTTGAGATTAAAAGAAGATATGACTTTTTAAAATGGCATGTATATACTAACTAACTTTTAATATTACCTATTCATATATTGTGTTTGATTGTATGACACAAGTTCATTTTTCCCAATGGTCGCGCTACTTTGTTTTTTCTACTTTTTTCTTCTTAGGGTATGTTTATTTCATGAATTCTGAGTTTATTCTCATGAATATAAGCTCGGGAATGCAATATTCCATGTTTGATATAAGTTTTAAAAAACTATTTGTGATTATTATTCATTTTTGAGAAAGTAGTAAATATTTTTTCATTTCATTTTCATTCCCATAAGGTATGGTGGCAAAGTTATATTTTTATGAAAATATGAGAAGTAATTTTCTAATTCAATTATAACTTTCATTTACCCTTATTTTTTTATTTCATATTTCCAGTTCTTTTAAATTTTAAAAATATTACTAAGAATATTAAAATTTAAGCAAACACATTTTTAAAACATCTAAGAATAACATTTCTATTATAATATTTCTAAGAACGGAATAGATACCTTGAAATAAATTTCCCTTAATAATTAAGAGATTAGTATGATGATTATCATCACATGAGAGACAAGCTTAAGAGGAATGCCCCCTCAGTAGCTATTTACTTCAGACAACCCTCTTGATTTTTTATTTTTATTTTGGGTAATTCATGCTTACTACTTAGCACAGAAAAGTTTTCTTTACACTATCTACTTCTTTGATTCAACTGAGTGTTTGTATATATGTTAATTGAGTTAGTTGTTATTGTTCTTCTATGTTCACACCATACTGAGTACTTTTCCTTGCTCATCATGCTTGTCATGCATATTGTACTTGGTTATTGCCTTCATTTCTTGCCTTGCTGCCACTGTCTTTTGACTGATCACTCACTCTTGGATATTGTACACCCTCTAAGCAATGCATATTAACATTGTCATCTCACATTTTACAGTAATAAACTATTGCATGTGATTTTCAGGTCTCCTCATTCTCAAAAATGAAATTTTGGGCCTAATTAAATTAATATTTATATTTGTTTAGTGTTTTCTACTTTGTGTGTGATTTGTTCCAGAACTTAACTTGATTGTTATTATTATTGCATTGCTGGTACATACACATTATTGAGAAATTTCTTTCTATATCATTAAGCCAAGGTAAAAATTAGCATGAAAAGGACCTCTTGATATGTATGAATTGTTATGTGATAGTGATTTTAGAATCTTGCCAACCATATAACGAGAGCAGCATGTGATAATGTTGAGTGTAAGCAACACCCACAATTTAATGAATTGAGTGAAACACTAGATCTTTTGAGAGTGTGTGAGTGAATTGTATGTCATGTAGTTAATGTCCTTTGTTGACTTGTTATAGAGGGAATCGTGATTCTTAGTAATGAGTAAACTCATTAGGATTAGTGTAATTTTTTCTCAAATAATTAAAAGGAAACAAGTTTGGCTAAGTACTGATATACAGAAAGATTGATGCACAGAATTCACTACGACCCCTACTTGCATTTGATTGTTGTTCGAGGACTAGCAAAAGTCTATGTTAGGGATTGTGATTGGGATAAATATTCATAGTAAAACAAGTTTGTGCACAACATTTCCGGTACAGCTATTATGCATAACATCAATGGGGAATAGAAAAAGAGAAACAAAAGGAGAAAAATGATGATGGACGTACGAGATGAACAGTTTATGAATCAATGATGGGAATATTATGTATAAACAACAAAATCGCGACTTCAAGTAGTGAGATAAAAAACTGCACTTCTTTTAATTTTCTTTAAACAGTTACAGCGTGTGTGTATATATATTAATATGAACCAAAGAGAAAGGCTTGATGCACAGGAAAAATTAATGATACTGGCCAAAAAAACAAAAAGAAAGAATAATAATAGAGTCACTCAAGTCTCAAGATTAAAGGAAAATTATCCATGACTGAATTAATTAATCTTGTTTACTAATTGTGAATTAATAATTTATTGTTATGAGAGAATACGCGACCCAACCAACCCGACAAATTCCTGAAGGGGCATTCCTAATATAAGAGCCAACCCGACATATGCATGAACAGACATTATCCACTTCTCAATCTAATGCGATATGAATCCAGTAAGGTATAATTAAAAACTAATAAGTCCAAAGTCATATGATAAAGAATAAAGATTAATGGACTAAAATTTAAGTAGTTTGGAGCTGAATAATTAAATAAATCCATTATCTTATTTTTTAATGTAATTTTCATTTTATTAATTTTATTAAATAAGTCAGATGACTTTCCAAGTTACCTAGACCAGCATTTAGTATTTTAGGCTTAGTGGAATTTAATGAATTAGTGGGCTGGTGAGGAATCAATTCTAGTGGATATTAAGTGTTAGTGAAAAATTAGTGAGAATTTATGTCATCTTACCCATCTAAGCTTATAAATAGGAACCATTTGTAAAAATTTGGAGAGAAAATGAATTATTCATAATTTGGATATTTTTCCAATTGAGAGGATTTTCTCTATCTAGGTTTTTAGGAACTACTTTTGATTCTTATCCTTAAATTTCCTAATTCAAAGTGGCGAATCTTCCTCAACTTATCAATCTTTAGGGATTGTGGCGTTATTCTTCCATTTCTTACCTCAATTCATATATTTTTCTTTTAATTTTTTAATTATGAGTTTTCCAACCTAGATAGATCCATAAAATGAATCCATCCCCCTAGGTTCACATCATTTGGTATCAGAGCTTGGGCTCTGGGTTTGGAATGGAAATGGAAATTTACTATACAAGATGTTTGGTTGACGACTCTCTGTTCTTGGTCGCAATAGATGAATTCAATTTCAGAAATGTCGTGAGCAGCAAGGCGGTTAAGAAATTATGTCTGCCCACTACAAATGGACAAGCAATGATTAAATTCTCTATTGGAAAATATGAAGATGAAGTTCTTTGTGATATTGCCCCCATGGAGACATGCCATATGTTATTAGGGAGGCCATGGTTGTATAATAAAATTATAAATCCTGAACGACCTTCTATTTCTTTTGTGCATGGTGGACGAAGGATTAAGTTGATATGTCTATCATCCGACGATGTACATGAGGATCAACTGAAATTGAAAATAAAGATAGCAAAAGAAAGAGAAGAGAAAATGAGAGAAGAAGATGAGATACATAGAGAGGAATATGACAACTCTAACGTTACATTTTCTTCTTTTGACGTATCAAATTTACAGAAACAGGAGGACAAGTTTTCTTGTTTCAAGAAGCATGTCAACACCATTCCTAATGCACCTTTATACATTCAGTCCACCTTTCAAAATAAAATTCAAGAGACCTTGCACCTGGAAAATGGAGTTGATTTGTTGTTTGAAGTTACTATTTTCCAAAGTTGTCACTTGAATGGAATTCAATTCCTATTCATTGAGTACGTTTGTGGTTATGAGTTTGAAGAGGTTATATTTGTTTCGTTGATGATTAATAACTTACCAACAGGTGAAGCTAGAGATGGATACAAGCGAGATGTCTTCGACCCAGGAGGAAGCATTTGCGTTTCGGCAGTAGTTAGTGAATTAAATAAATTAGGAAATAAATAAAGTCTTAAGATTCGGGACGAATCTTCTCAAAGAAGGAGGGTATGATGTGAATCCAGCAGGGTAAAATTGAAGACTAAGAAGCCCAAAATCATATGATAAAGAAGAAAGATTAATGGGCTGAAATTTAAGTAGTTTGGAGCTGAATAATTAAATAAGTCTATTATCTTATTTTTTAATGTAATTTTCGTTTTATTAATTTTATTAAATAAGTCAGATGACTTTCCAAGTTACCTAGACCAACATTTAGTGTTTTAGGCTGGAATTTAACGGGTTAGTGAGCTGGTAAGGAGTCAATTCTAGTGGATATTAAGTGTTAGTGGGAAATTAGTGAGATATTAAGTGGATATTAAGTGTTAGGTTCTTAGGAACTACTTTTGATTCTTATCCTTAAATTTCCTAATTCAAAGTGACGAACCTTCCTCAACTTATCAATCTTTAGGGATTGTGGCGTTATTTTTCCATTTCTTACCTCAATCCATATTTTTTTCTTTTAATTTCTTAATTATGAGTTTTCCAACCTAGATAGATCCGTAAAATGAATCCATCCCTCTAATTAAGTTCATATCATAATGTCTAGCATCTATCACAATATATGACATGATGCAGACTAGAGCACGTGCAATCTTGCCTTCTTTTATCTTTTTCCTCAAAGCTTGGCTCATTCTTTGCTTAATATTTCGTTTTATTTGAACTCCAAGCCACATGACATAAAGTTTGCCAGTGCTTGTGCCCAATTATATATTAATTATATGACTCAATTAATTTGCTGTTAAACAATCACATATGAAGCCAGCTAGCCCCTTTCTCTTTGCCCCAAACAGTTTATTAATAGCTGATAAACTGGCAGATTCTAGCCCATGTACGTAAGCACACCCATCATTTTCCTCTTTCAAGTTTTATTCTCATGTTCGATCACCACAATTTGATGAAAGATTAGTAGAGCAAAAGTTTTGATAAAAAAAAATTGCGCGCGCGCGCGTTGTGAATATTTATGAATGAGAATCGATATATTATGAAATCATAAAATCACGTTTGGCATTTTCAGGAACAAGTTTGGGAGCATAAACTGTCCCACTATCCATTAAACATCTAAAAAATATTGCTTAGACGACACACTCAAGTGACATACATATATATATATATATGGTAAGAAGATACAAATAAAGAAAAATAATGAGGATTTTTTTTTATATCACAGTAACAAAATAATAACTTTTAGTTAAAATAAGAGATGAAAAAAATAAGAATTAACACAATATTTTTATGTAAAAAATCCTCAACTGATAAGGAAAAAATTATAAGTAAAATCAAATAAATATTTTCATTAAGTCAAAGAAAAATTACAACATCTATTTAAATATAAGGAGACAACAATAGTACACTCTCTTATAAAGAAAAATACATTCACTTATTCTAACTTCTAACTCTCTTAAATGAAGAATTACAATTTTAGGATGATAAAAATAAAGCATGAAAAGTGTTATTTATAGTGAAGGGATGGAACATGACTATTAATACATGATAGAAATTTTATAATCTATATCTTCCTATTGTTGATTTTGTTATCACAAAATAACTTTATATTCATATAATTTCACACGTTTATCAAGTGTTTGGAAAAGTCAAATGTTCAAAAATTATTACTCACATTTTGATACTAAATAAAAAAAAATACATTTTAATCTTGGTAGGATTAAATGTAAAAGGATAAGTGCGTATAATTTTTACATTAGATTCTCTTTTTCTTTTTTCTTTTTTTCTCTTGCTTCTAATTCATTGAGAAAGATAAGATAATTGAACCAAATTCACGACAATTAGCTCATTATTATTTAGAATATGAGGTAAGCTTATACTTGACACTCTCTCCCTATTGCAAGAGTGAAATTAAAAGGAGAAAGAAAACAAACAAAAGAGAAATAAACATCTTTATACATGGAAAGCTAGCTATAGCTGAAGTACGTGGGTACTTCCGAGAAACAAACAAAAGCATCCACGTATATACTGTTTCCTCGTTTAATTCAACCAAACGAGATCAGACTTATGAAGAACAGTATATTTTGTATTTATGGCCATAAGTGTTAATAAAAAATCGTATATATATACCGTATACTATTAAAAAGAAGAAAAAGTATACATATACAATCATTTTCTTATTATTTATTTTCTACACCAATTCTTACACTATACCATAAAAATGAACAAAAGTTATGAATCCACCAAAAATGAAATAAACGTTTATCACAAGGAAGGGTTAAGCAAATGGAAAACAAACTTTTTATGCAGTAAGTAAACATAGAACACATGATCACGAGGGAAAGAGAAACTGTGTGTCAGA